TCAAAACATTTAATTTACAGCATTTATTAGTAAATTTAAATATATAAAGACGTATCGCGTTTTATTGCAGACTATCTTATTCTGTGATCTATGTATGAAGAATTATTTGCATAGTAGGACTTAATCTTTGGTCTGGCTTTGGGCTCTGCAACATCAATTTATACTTTCTGGTAGAGCCACTTTTAACTATATTTGATATCATTTGCGATATTGAACGAATTTATTGCTTCAGCTTCAACTAATCTATTTCATAAAACTATTTTAAAATCATTGACGATACTAGGAATCTGATTTTTTCCTGGCTTAGCTAATTTATTTCAAATAGCACGCAACGGGGGCTACTGTAAATATCTGCTTTTAAGTTTTTGTTTGGAATTTTAAAACGAAAGTAATGAATAAGTTACTGCAATTCATGTCGTGCAGGTTTGGTGAAAAACTAAATTCCATTACGTCATTTTGATATTTTGGAGAAACTTGTGTACTTGCTAGCTGTTGTGATTGTAGCAATGAAAGAATTTCTTTATTATACTCTTATACGAGAAAGTACTTAATTATTTTGATCATTAAAATTATTTTGATGTTACTGTTGATTCCAAGAACTTGATAGTTTCTTAGAAGACCGGTTCCATCACGAATCGCACACAAATGAGCTTTTTCAAGTTGTTTTTTTCTGTAGGAGTTGAATTTTATGGTCCATAGTATATGTCTTTTGAAATGAAATGGTTTTCGTGCTATTTTGGTGCAGAAATCGAGCTTGTGATTACTATTGCCACTCCTGCTATGACCTTGCAATTATGCGTGTGTTTATTGTGACTTGCGCTTCACATGTTTGCTAGACGTGTTGCTTCTAAAAGCACAGTCATATTAATCGAGAGGGATTAAATCATTGATTGAATAGAATGAAAAGTTAGGCAAAATTAGTCAGAAAAAAGTCATGCTGGAGCTGTTTTCAACTAAATATACCAAGAATAAAAAGTTTGCAGTCGATCGGAGTATATAATGAATGGAGTCATTAATGTTAGTTCGTCATTGCTTTAACATGATTGTTTTTAAACTACAACATATACTATTTAATGAGGAATCTCAAATATTGTGTTTCATAATATCAATTTTGTGAAGATAAGTAAACTGTGCAGTGAAATGTCTAAGGGAATTTTAGGGTGGATCAATTTTTCAATTTCATACCATAAATCCATCTTTCTATATAGCAACCTTATTGTGAACCTTAAGATCAAGAAGTAAAGTACAATATTATATTTCAAAGTTTTTTACTGTAGTATTGTGTCTTTATTTGGTATATTTCCAAGTATGTACTTATATGAAAAGCATACAACCAGCGATTTTGCACAAACTTATATGTTTGAGATAAGTTGCTAATCATCTTTGAAATGTACTGTTTTTACTGTTCAGTTCATGCTTTCGTGTACGCCTGCTTCCTGTTATTTAAGCTGAAGAAACACCAAAATAGTTCTTTAGCAATTCCGATCGCTCAGTTGACTCTTCGAGGTCCAGTCGTCGAAGTACTTTAGGGAAGTGATTCATGCTGCATGCTGATGAATTTACAAAAAGTCTTTGGTAAGTTTTGTTTTGTTTGTAATCAAATTATATAGTTATACTCTATTTAACTCTAAGTTTTGAAAAAACATATCAGTTCGAATCCTGAATTTTTTAATTAATGAGCAGGTAACTATGATTACCTCTTTCTTTTACATGTAACATATACATTGATACAACTCCACGATTCATCCGTATTTGAACTCGCTCTTGTGCTGGTCAACACATCTTTCACTATTGTCAGTTCTTATATATGTTTAGTCAGCTCACATATTAAGTCTTTATGCATATAAGTCGCATTTGGGCATTTGAATTCTGTTGTGCTCGCTTGTGATAAATAAAATGAAAATAGTGACATTAATTAATTTATATTGATGTGGAACATACTTGCTGAATTGATTGAAAAGAAATTATGTCTTTTTACGTTTCACGAATGCACTCCGTAACGTGGCACGAAATTTAAATATTCAAATATACTACATAAAATTCAAAAAACCAATTGTGAAACAGTTTTCGTCGTAATGCAGAAGTCAATTAATGTATCAAGTTTTATTTTATCATCTCGTGAGCCAGCAATTAATTTTTTAATTCTTCTTTACAATTTATCAATGTTGCAAAACTGAAACATGGTATTTGATGCAGTGAACTGTCGTAGCGCTTGGCTGCAGGTTGATATAATAACAAAATTTAATAGTCGGAATAAATTATTTACCATTGCGAAACAATTATAGTCAATAAAAGAATCTGAAACGATTCCAATAGTTTTATGTTTTGGGAGAAAAGTTAATCCTGTCTATATTCACAGGATTATAAATATGTTTTATGATACCTCGCTAAAAAATGCATTGCACAGTAGAGTTCAGCTTATGTATACATGGTTGTGTGCTTTTTCGCTCGATGTTTCTGTTGTAGGGCAGCACAGCATAGCGTAAATATATTGCATGCCATTGAGGAAACATATTTGCTCATCTCTGTTTTTAACGGTTCATGGAAAATCTTTAATTTTCTTCATGTTATTGATGATTCGTACCTATATATTCATGCATTAGTTTGGCGGTGACAATCCAGGCTGGCTTTTAGTTATTACAACTTATCGTTTGGTGCTGTTCTTTATGGTAATAGGAAAATGTTCACTTATATGAGACTTACCTTTTATTTGATTGAAGTTTGGTTTCAATTTGCTGAACAACTGCTCTTGAGTGTTTGGTATCATGTGACAGACGTTACATGTAGTTTGTAGGTCTCTTTTCCTTTTTTAATTCTGCTTTATCATTGGCCTCTTTCACAAAACGGAAATGCATGGGGGATAGGTCGAAATTTTGTTCTACATGCAGGTTGATACATGATTTCTCGTCACAACATTTAGTTTCTTTGACGCAATAAAAACAAATAATTTATGATTTGTTTGAGTCAAGGCATCATAATTAATCAACAATTTAATTTGGTTAGGAGTTGTCACCGATTTTTGAACTATATTAGCAAGTCAACAGACAGCAATAGCAGAAGCATGTACACCTGAATAATATTTATTGATGTCCACAATCGGCTTTTGGGGGTAGCCTTTAACTTTTAGCAAGCTCTGAGGTGTTTCTTTTGTGAAGGTCCGTGGGAGTTTAGAAAGTGTTTAGCATTGCATAAAATAGGTCTTAAGCTTACATGTCTTTTGCTGTTTTTTAAGACTAACAAACTCAGATCCCAGTTTGACAAACTCACTATTCAAATGAACTATACGCTCTACTGTAAGCAAAGCCACCTTTCCGTTTTCAAGATGAAGAAGCTAAACATTATTTAATTGTATCCGGTTTTATCAACACAAGCGACGATTGATGTTTTGAGCTTAAAAAGAGAAAGTCTCAAATTTCGAAGCAATTTTTAATGCCTTTTTTAATTACATTGTGTAGTAACTTGACTTAAGCTCGGGTCTATTCAAAGTTTTAATGAATTTCATTTATGCTCTTTCGAAATTTTCTCTCTGTATGTCGTAAGTTAACAGTCTAAAAGAAAATCTGCCTTAACTTTTCTTTCGACAAGTTTTGATGGAAATGTTTTTCGTGAGCCAAAACAGACATATCTCATCTCGACAGCCTTTGGAACGTTTTCTTGTGTATGAAATTCGTTAATTTTGCATTTATCATTATGTTTTTTAGAGTTTTTGCCAGTCCAGTCTTTTTGAAGAAGTTTTGGTTGTAAATTCAAAAAAAACCAATTGAATTTTGCAGACATTCTCGCTTTAAATTATACGTAGTTCATAGTTGATTAGTGGTTTTCGTTCCAAGTTCTGTTTACGTTTTGTCAAAATTTAATGTAAAGCTTTTTTTATCATTTGTAGGCCATTTAAATTCACGATTGTGACGTGGAACAATTAAATATGAGAATTTTTAAGTAACCTGTACAGTTTATTCGTAAAAAATACTCTTGTTATAGAAAAATCACTCTCGCTTTTGCTCAATGACCTTTCTCGTGGAGCACTTGTCTCGAGAAACCTGCTCCTCATTCTGGAAATAGAAAACACTTGGCTGTATTTAATGCTTTTATTTTAGGCTGGAAAATCGTTTCTCTGTTTGATTAATCGAATTGCATTCATTCATCAAGGTTTGTTCAAGTTTTTCACAACCTTGTTTAAGTTTTTCTCACTATAAATGGGATGCGGTGAGCAAGTTCATTTTATTAAAGTATTAAAGTAAACCTCATATAGTCTATTGTTGTTTTACTATAGAAAGAAGTGGATCACTGGATCACATGTAGACATTGTTGGATCATCCTGAAAATCAATAATGGTCTTGTCAAGACCACAACACGATTTTGCGGGTGAATTTAGTTTTAATGGTAAGCTGGGCAGGAAGGTAAGTGAAAATTTAACTTTCCCATTAACTTGCTTGTCTCTCGTATGGCTTTACCCCAATGTAAGTTCTCTGAAACGTTTTATGCATACGCGCGTAATTTTCGTTATTTACTATGTGCGTATATATGACATTCGTCGAAACTTGTTGATTCTGTAATGATAACTTTGAAATAAAGTCGGAACTTGGTGCATTAATATCACTCCTTCAATTATGCTGAAAATGCCCTGTCTTTATGCAGTATGTTAATGTTTACGTTTTTTGACTCTTCTTTAATGATAATGCTAGGTTAGTATGTATATGGCTAATCAACTAATATCATGGCGCGGGCTAAAATCCTGAATGTATTTCTTCAAATTGTGTCTAAGCAACATGTTTTTCGTGTGTAATGTATCGTTTCAGAATTGTTATTTATGTTACTGAAATGCAGAAAATGGCAGACGCATTATAGTGGGCCATTTTAGTTCAAATAACTTAGAACTTTCTTTGCTTTTTTGCATCTCAAATTTCTTATCGCATATTCTACGTCTGCGATATAAATACAACGGTAATGTTAATTGATTGAAAATTTTGCAGTTATTTACTAAATCAATAAACTTCATATGGTTGTGTTTAAATTTGTTTATATGAAAGCGCAAAACTTCATGCTTTGGTTTCTATCTATTATTTATAAGTAACAACATATCTGCATGGCGAGAGAAAAACTAGCGTTTGCCTGCATGCCGCCTATGGAAGACTTTCTATTTTTCTAAAAGTAAATCAATTCAAGGAAAAAATGCCAGTAAAGTGGAAAATTTTCTTCTCCTTAAATATTTTAGTCGATTTTGATTTCTTTTCTTATATTCTTCGACTCACGACATGATGTAAGTTAAGATTGCTTTGAGCCTAATCCTCAAAAGTTAAAAGCAATGACGACTTATATATTATGATTGATTCTTGTTACTTCATCTCTTCACGCGTAAAAATGAAATTAACACGAGGACTTTTAATTTCTGAGCTCGTTGCCGTCTTGAGCTCCAATTCTTATGGTCATTATACATTCTGTCTCATTTGTCTTAATCCATGTCTCTAACTTTCGTCGGATTGGGACTTGTGAGTGATGTAGTTCGTAGAATGCGAATGAAGTGAAATCCTGTAAATTTAGCAATTTTATCACAAATTACATAAAACTACAGCAGCAAATTCTAAAAATCTCTTGATTATGAACTATTCTAATCTAAAGAAACTCAAAGCTACTTACATTTTAGCTTATAAAGTCCTTTTAATTCTAGTTCCTTTATTAAGCTTACTTTCTCACTTAATCATCAGCAAATCAGTGTAAAACAAGGAAATGAGAAGAATGAAGTAAGCAAAATATTGTACTTTAAAATGTATAGCATTTTTCATAACAGACATGCATTACTGATGACTTTCTCAAACACGACTTTCATTTAGTCCATACGAAGATTCTTATGACAAACGATTGGTCTTTTTGGCCTACTACAATAAATAATAAGCACTTGGTTAGTTACAAGTAAAGTTTACCACCTCCTCTGGAGTTGACCATGCTGTTTTTAGAATATTTTCAAGTGCTCGTAAAATTTTGTGTAAATAAGGAAGGCCTTCTCCTGTAGCTTATTCCTGCGAGCAAGCTGCTCGCTTAATCGCGACTATATTAACCTTAACACGAAAAGGCCGTTTTTAAAAAATCAAAACAGTATCTTAGCAGCCGTTTTTACATATACGTGTGTCTACAGTCTATTCTAAATTTCCATCCATTTCTCCTTTGCTCTTTTGAAAGGAACATTCAGTAATGTCAACGTTACCCTGAGGAAATTTTTCATCCGAAAAAATGGCTTTCTTTCTAATTGTGATCAAATTTTGTTGACTTAATGTAGGATAAACATCCCTTGTCATGCATGATTCGAATTTGTCATTCACAGATTTCTGTGGGTCATTTTTTTATCAATGTAAACTATTCGGTTTTTTGTCACAAAAGCCACCATTCCGTTAACGTGGTGTACAACTCGAGCCGAATCACTAAACATTTCTGAATAATATCCTGTGTTCATCAACGTAAGGGTCCACTGAAGTTTTTTAGTTTCAGCAGAAAAAGTCTCAATCACTAACTTCGAACCAGCATTGTTTAAGTAGAAACCTGTGATAGTGTTGGTGACAGTTGTGTAAATAACTTGATTATACACTCTGATCTCACCAGTGCTTGGTTTGAAAATCACGTGTTTAAGTAATTTTGCTTCCATGCTGTAAAAGAGGAGTCGATAATGTTTATATTTGTGTCGATAGGTTATCAAAGCTATTTCTCTATCAGCAGAAAAAGACAAACATTTCAACTCATCGACAAGTGGATTATGAATGCCTATAATCCTACAAGGTGTGAGAACGGGAGAACCAGTTTTGTAGCATACACATAGGTTGATGTTAGGTTGGTCTCCCTCAACAAATGCAATAGCAATTACTTCATCATTTGTGACGGCCATAAACAAGTTTCGTGCGTATATATTATCAAGAAACTTCAAAGTAGATTGTTGGATAGCGTCATTTTCTGAAAAAACTGTCAATTGATATGTCCAGACATGTTTGCCACCATAACCAGAAAGAACATACACCACGCCGTTGTTATCAACAGTCATACATCTAACCTGCCAATCATCAATCTCCCATTTTTCTTTACACCACGGTTGAAGTTTTCCTGTTTCACTGTCGAGTTTTTGGAGATTGTTTCCAGAAAAAGTTAGTAGTTCTCCTTCATTGGTTAAAATGATTTCTTTGTTGAAAAATACTTCAACTTCATCAGTGCAAAAATGATATGCGCACCAAGGAATTGAAGCAGTTGTGATATCTTCAACATATTTAAAATACAGGGGATGAAACTTATGCTCACCAAATTGAATCAATGGCCAGTCGAGAACAACCTTTCTTTGGCATGTGTGTTTTGCTATGAAATCAGCCACTGATAAATTTATCATCAGTACATTGTCAACGTTTTTAACCCGAGCGTCTTTGTAAAATTTTGGTTGAGAATTTGAAAATAGCTTCCCAACCTCTGGCAATGTGTTTAGGTTCTTTAGGTGGAGCATTGATTCATTTCCGGCTGCCTCGCTATCATTAAAATGTTGATGAACAGAACTTACAATGCAAATCCAGCATGCTGTTATTTTTTCTTCAATTTTTAATGATTCATCATTAAATGCCTTGTTTGCCTCTTTAGTTGCCTGTACGAAAGACTGTTCAGCTGACTTCAGTCGCTCTTGTTTTTGTAATTCTGTTGGATTGCTTGACTCAGCTAAATTCAGTGTTGTAATTCCTATATTGAGTTGACTGATACTGCTAAGGAGATCTTTTCTCGATAATGATTTCAGTGTTGTTAATTCACCTTTAACTTTGCCAAGCCAATCAAGTAGTTTTGTCCCGTGGGTTGGAATGCCTGCAAATATGCTTGACCCTAATGACATTGGATCCATCTCAAGTGCAAAGTCTTCACGATCCCAAGTTTGACTGTTGCTCTGTTTTTTTAAACAACCTATAATAATTTCCGCAATAAAAAACAAGTGACATGCATGGACGACAAAGTAACTACATTCGTCTTTACTATATAGTTTTTTAAAGTCCGTAGCTATACTTATCTGGGGGCGTGACGCGAACATTCGGGTATAGTTTTGACCGTCTTCAGTTGTTAAATGGCAATTTTGCTATGTTTTACTTGTAATATTTTACTGTATACGACCATTTCACTTACCAAGGCCTCAGTGGCGTATTTAGAGGTCATGCTGGTCAAGCTCAGCCCGACCAAAAGTTTCCCTAAAAGAAAGAATTTAATCGATTAAAATTCAAAATGAATTAGCTTGAATTTCAAAACAGTTTTAATCAGTTTATTGCAGATGTAAGTTGAGAGGATAATCCAAATATTTAAATAGCTATTTTGGTTTAATTAAACTCAAAATTTGCATTCAGTGAGAAGTTGCAAAGTAACAGTGTGACGTCCAATGCTTTTCGCAGCTTTGTCGGGCTCTCAAAATTCAGCCCGTCCATACAATATATTTTATAGGAAAAATATTCCTAATTAATTGGCTAATGACATCAGAGCATCCTGAAACTCGCAGATTTGGAGCATCTAGTCACGCTAATTTGATAGAGCCCGACTTTAGCCTTCAACTTAAAAATCGGCACAAAATATACATTATATGTTTGTAACAGATTCACAGACTCATGCTTGTATTTTACGTACGATTTACTGAAGTTGAGGCGAAATTTACAGCTTTGGCTTCATGAAAGACGATCTTTTCTCCATTCGGCAAGCTGACGAATAATGAATTATTTAAAGCCCAAACATTGGCGTTATATAGTATAGTTCTATACAGGGGCAGATCTAGGGTATGCCAAATCAGTCACGCGACATATGTTTATAGTTTAAAAATTATCTATCAAATTTAATGATTACAATTTTTTTTTGATTATTAAATTATCGTTCTGTAATCGTTTGAATTTCATCATCAAAATTCTGTTTTATGTATAAAATCTTATACAAATACCACCTTAGTAAACAGATCAGTAGATAAAAACATATCTAGAATTATATTAACTGGCTCGACTGGTTCGACCGATAACGGAGTTCAAGAATGCTTATTTAAAGCCATTCCATTGGTCATTAGCCAGATCAGTGGACGATCTGGAATAATCTCGACCGGTAAGCGGGGTGGCCCTACCTATAAGGAAGTCCAATTGCTATCGTGTAATTGGTGTGTTTAAATTTTGTGTTACAGTGATTGGTTTTACCGATTTCGACTAATAGCCAACTGAAGTAACATAGTCAAGCTCACTGTTTGAATTGAATGTTTGATCGTTTCATAGTAATTTTCTAAAGCATGATAGAAGTTAAACTACAATCACATGGAATTTATAGAAATCTTTTACAAATTCATATATTGACATGAATGCAGCTGTCCAAACTGTGAAGATTTTCAAGAGGGGAAAATTTATGGATGAATTGTAATTGCTTGGCAAAGACGATCTCGCGAGTGACATTTCAGTCATTGATGTTCAAAAGCAAGCCAACATTGTTTTGAGTTTTATCAGCAGAAATTTACATCCGAAATCGTAAGTAAAGGGCAACTGAAGTGTATGCATGAATGCAAAATATCAAAGTCAATTTATGCGAGTATGTGATGCGGTTTATGTCAATATGGCGTATGGTAAGCAGATTCATGCTTCTAAAATTGTTGTTGCCGAAGGACTTTTAGCTATGATTTCTTTAGTGCTTGGGGAATCGTGGCCGTTATATGTCAGTGAAATCCTACAATTCTGCAAATATTTTTAAATGGACAAAAAATCTGTAGCCATAAGGCGCCATACTATTATTTACTTTATTATAAACAAATGTTTGGGGCTTTTCAGTTTATGATCATTGATCATTCAATCATTGGACAGTTATACCACACATTGTTTAAGATTTGAGAAAACTAATATTGATTACACGGGTGTGTTGAATCTACGGCTCATACCAGATTGTTTGCATTAAATTCCAAAAGGCTATTGATGTATGAAAAGCATTTTCTATAAAGTAAAAATGTCTTCCTATGTATGCAGATAAACTTTGAAATTTGGCAAAACAGCAAAGTATTTTTCATGATCACTAGGTTATTTTTCTGATGATCATTATATAATTTCTAAATTAAATTATTTCAGATTTACATTTAAACGAGCTTTGATCTTATGAAAAGATATTTATCATAACCAGTAAGCATGACACATAAACCAATTTTAACATTCATGTAATTATATAATTAAAGACATGTTGGTTACATTCTGTTTATATTGGCATATACAATGCTACTAGTGATTGCTATATAGGACACCTTGCATATACTTACATAAGATAATAGTCTAGTGAAATGCTTATAAAACATTAATGGCCTTAAGCTGTCCTTAATTGCAAATTTTCACTCTGATAATTTTTTGCCTAATCTTTGGCAGAAAAAAATTTTGAGTTTTTTCTCAAAAAGTGAATAAATTGGCACTGTATGTGAAGATGGGTAAAGGTTACAATAAACTTACATGTTTTGAAGTCTGAGCTTTTCTAGTCCCTTGTAGCACCAAATTTCCAACTTAACTCATTACATAGAGGTTTTAATAGGGGTCTCTAGGGGGGTCTATGCCTGACAACCTGGTAGACATTTTTAAAGGCAATATCTATTTTGGAATACCATTATTTTAAAATAAATTTTACGCTCCTAGACATGCTAATAAGCCATATATTTGGCATGATAATGAGCCAAAATATTGGCGAAACATTCAAGTATTGTTCACTTCAGTTGTTATTTTTTTAAAAAAACGTAAGCAAAATGTGTTGTTTTTACGCAAAAACGATTTCCACAAGATACATTTTGTATTGCTCTAAAAAGCTGAAAATGGCATTTTCAAGGCTCTAAAATTCAAAATTTCTCAGGGGAGAATGCCTCGGACAACTCCCCAGGTGCGGAGCGCCTCCAATATTTTATGGCTGATGTTTGAAAAATCCTAGATGCGCCCCTGGTTCTATACTAGCTATATCTCCTTGCTGTTATCATGTCTTGCGAAAAAGATTGACTCTATTGTACTTTTCAAAGCAAGTTATGTTTTGTTTGTCGTGTTTCGTATATTTGTGGTACTTCAACATCATGGACGCAGACAGTCCCACATTAGAAAAGTACGACATTGCAACATCGCACAATATATGTCTGAATCGACATTGTTAAAGACGTTGTACATACAATATTTATGGTATTGCACCTTGTGTATATCCCATTTACAAATTAAGCAGGCATGTTGCATATTCAACTTTATAATGAAGGGGTATGGTGAAATTATAAAAATGCTGATTTAAATTTTTTGTCTGGGCAAGAGTTTTCATACAGTGAGTCTCGTGACAGTTTTTATAAGGCAATTTTTGTGAATTTCTTGAAATTTTGCATGGTTTCACTTTACAAAAATCTTGTTGCTTTTTTTGTATGATTAATTGACAATTATGAACAGTTAACTGGAATCTTACCTAGCTATTCTAAGTAATTTCATTTATGGCCTAAACATGATAATACAAGATGAATTTTTAAATGATATGAATAGTTGCAGTTTTTCTGAATAACTTGAAGTTGACTGAAGTACCCGGCAAAGAATAATTTGGTTGTATATGTCCTATTAAAAGGTATTGACATTTCAGAACGACAGCTTCGGTTTGCGTATGTTAGTTTTGACAGAAAGAATTGAGTTAATATATCAGTTAAAGCTTATAATGTTGTCTTTGCTTTGTTTGCTAATTTAAATGGTGCTATAGCATTGTTGTAAACAAAATATCATTTTACTTTTTTATTTCCTGCTTACATCACAAACTGGTTTTGTTGTATAAAGCTGCATTTTTAGTTCACCTATGAAGGTTTTTTGCAAGCTATATTTGTGCTTTTGTCCTTTTACAAGAACTATCAAAGATAATGTTAATTATCACTGTATTTGGACTAAGTTTCTGACTCATGGTAATGAATAAATATATAGCTCAGGTGTGTTATTTTTAAAGCTTAGAAAATGTTTGAAGATTCATAAATTTTTTGATTTTAAACTCCAAAATGATGTGATGATAGAATATTGTGACTGTTCAAAAATTGAATTTTGCGTCATACTTGACATGCACATGTGTATCAGAATATTTGTAGTTATATTATTATTTTATGGCTTTACTGTGAATTTAAAAGTTTTGAGGTCAGTTATGTTAGTACTGACATTTCTCCTTTAATATAATGTCATTCATTATCATGTGCACAGTCAAAAAACTAAAAGTTACCTTAAGTTTAGTGCTGGTGAACTTAATAGCTGCATGTAAAGTCATGGCCACTAAAATGATGATAAAGGTGAGATCTTAACATGAGACAGAAATTTTTATTTTTATTTGTTAGAAACTTTTATGTTGTTTGTTTGTACTTTGAAATTTGTACATTAAATTTCATTATTATATGGCAAGCGCCACTAACGGCTAAATTATGCGCTTTGATTGGCTAAGAAACATTTTTGCCGGTCCATTATTTTCCCGTAATCGACCACGGTCGAAAAACGCGTGATTTTACAGTCAAATGTAAACAAACTTCGTAAAGCATACGGCAAACGTAAATTCGAAGCCAACCCGTACAAAACAGCAAGGACATGAAAGAAAACAGGCTTCGTTTCAGGTCAAATAATGCCATATAATAATCCTTTTAATAACTTCGTATTCTTGGTCTTTACTGAAAAATATTAAACCTCTGTATTTTTGTACAAACCTCGCACTACGGGCTCGGTCTGTACAAAGACTTCGTGTTCGGTTATTAAAGGCTTAATAAAGTACTTTTGTCTTACTATACGTATAATTGAAAATCATGACGTCATAGGGCGTTTTCTGCATACAATAGCGCGACCAAAATTTTTGCTAGATACGCCACTGCAAGGCCTGAAGAAACCTATACCAACAATTTATGAACCCTGACAGTTACACACGTAAATAGTTTATAACGCATAAATTATGGAATGAGCAAAGTAATATTTTTTACTGGATTTAATAATAATTTAACGAATCACGATGTATAACTTATAATATATTTATTATATTAGCAAACGTCACTTCTGGCAAATTGGCGCACTTTGATTGGTTCAGAAGCATTTTGAACCAATCCATAATTTTATGTTATCGACTACGGTCCAAAACACGTAATTTCAAAGTCAAATCTAAATAAACTAATATAAACAAAACAGCATAACGCAAAAAAGCGAAACAAAAAACCGTTTGCGAATGTGAGTCGAAG